AGCACTGTTGGCCCCCCTGAACGCGCCACTTATGGTATCCCCAGCTGAGCGAAAGCCCGCGCCTGGTATCCCCTCGAATCGGGAGAGGTTGCCGCTTACACGAAGTGATGTGTCGGTTGGTAAGAGGCAGTGAGTAATGATGTTTAGTAGCCATTGAACGTAGCCATGGAAAGGCGATAAAATTGATAATATAGGGTGCTGCTGGCCTCGACGGTGTGTTCGTCACCTCCTGCTGTGTATGTCTTTAATTCTGAGCTTGTTGTTACTATTATGATGATGATGGGCAGCAGTAGGAATCAGTGATGGGATGACCTAGTGCAGGTCATCGTCGAACTACTACTGCCCTTTGTTGTCTCTGTGCTTGGTCTGATTTACTATCTGTGATTTCTCTCTACCGTAAGGGAGTTCTCTTTGTATAGATCGCGAAGTGAATCCGAGTATGTAGTTGTGTTGTTAAGTGAATAATGCTGGTGGTGTTTCATTAGGAGTGTTAGATGATTGAATACGACAACAGTGAGAGTCCAATACGGCTGATACTCAAGTGGACCGGATCGCCTTACTCAGGGGTAGTAGTAGTAGTAGGGTGTCTCGGGGATATGTACATGGTCACCTCTGCATGTTGATGATAATGACCAAGGATGATTATTGTTGTTGGTTTTGTGTGTATTCCTAGTAACAGTCGTATTCAAGACTCTGTATAGTAGCGAGGAAACTGCCCAGCTCAGCTGAGGAAATCGAAAATATAGTGAAGATTAGCTCTGTCATCCGGTGTTAGTGTGTGTCGTGAAAGTCAACAGGGTCAAAATATGTATCGTGGGTGTTTGTCGTTGCCCTTTCGTACTATAGTAGTGTTTCGTAGACGAGGAAAATCGGTTTCGGATTTATTTCCGAACCGGGATAACACTTTTGGCTTGGAGCGCTTGCCTTAGTTATCAGGGTGATCGACAGTTTCTGAGCTAGGAATAAAGTGCTTCCATGATAATCTCCAATGTTCGTCTTAAAGAGTTTCGGAGAGTTCTCGTAATCGAGATTCTAGATGAATACTCGGTATTTTGGTATAACACATTGATGGAGTTTTGGGAGAATCTTATCGCACGGTTGGGTTGTGTATGCAGCCGTCCTCTGGTTTGATCAGATTGTAATATATTGTGTTATTGCCTGTGTAATCGCAGCATTATTCGTCTATATTGATTTTCTTAATGAACACTTGATTTTGGAGAAGCCTTTCGCTTTACAGGTAGGGCTCATAGGGTTACGTGTTGTATTGTGAGGTATGTTGACAGATTTACGGTACTATTTTGGGGTACATGGTCGTGTTTCGGACTAATATGGCGTTGCAGAGATACTGGGAGGGACTCACCAGCTTGAGGCAAATGACGGGGAAATGGAGCGATGCGTTTTCCTTGGTAGTATTGGGTGATGTCCTTGGGAGAGCTCCTTATAGATCTCAGTGAGAACCTATTAATGCATCACGTTTAGGATTTGCATCGCCGGAAAGTCGTGTGGAAAATTCACTCAGCTCACTGGAGCTAGATTGATTTGCATTGCATTTGCATTGTATTGGTATTAATTTTTATTGTTGGTGTATGAAGTGGAAAGATACACTACGATCGATGTAGGGGTGTACAATGGAGAATAGGTATAAGTATATTTGTATATGTTGGTCTATAAGCATCATATATTATAAATATCGATAGTATAATAATGGGAATATGTCGAATAGTGGAGTTTCACCCGTAATGTTATATGAAAAACACTAGCGGAAAAACTTTTTTCTTTTCCACTTGGCGAATAGCGGGTAAACTCTAGTGTAATACTATATTGAATTTGGAAAATATAATTTTTCATTGACATACTGCTCTTTACAATGGAGTTGCACTCGTTTTACGGTGAGACGTGTATGTCTTCGCGATCGATAACACAATTGTTTTCCACGAAGTGAATTATGAAATATGTTTTTCACTAGTGTTTTGTTTTTTCGTATAACGGGTGAAACTCTAATATTAAAAGGTTTATATCCATTTAGTAGCGGTTTAAGCGGGTCTCACCCGTTTTACGTGAAGTGGCGTACATAAAAAATTCGAAAAACACGATTGAAAATACTTGACGAACTACACCGGACAAATCAGCCCGTATCGGTGTTGTTCAATGCTTATGCGTT